GGCCCCTCCGAGGCACTATCCCTCATTCCAGCAAGGGCCACTCTCGCGATAGAAATAGCAGGAGCTCGAGAGCTCGTCGCGGATCAAACCGCCGCTCCCTGAAAAAGGCCCGTCCCGAGCGGGCCAGGACAGTACCTGAGACCGGAGGCGCCTCCGCCATCCCGCGCCGCCGCACCTAAAGGCAGCCAGCCAGCCCAGTGTGCGCTGTCACCCGGTCACGTGTCCCGGACTTCCGGCGCCGCCGAGAGAAAACTCGCCTCTGCGCGCCAGGTATGCCGCCGCGAAGAGTTCGCTGCCGCCTGTACTTGCGGCGCGGCCGTGACGTCAAGCCGACGCGCCGGCCGGAAGGGGGAGACGAATAGCTGGAGGCGGCGGAGAGTCTGGAAGGAGGGCAGCGAGTTGCGTAATCTAGCGCTTTTTTTCCTTTTTTTTTCTCTTCTGCCCTTTCTTTCTTCCCTTTGTCTCTCTTTCCTGTCTGTCTCTTTTTTTCCTTTCTCTGGCCACAGCGCCCCTGGCTTTGGCCTACTTCAGTATTTTTTAACTCTAAACCTGTGCAGTCCTAAAGAGGTTATGTCTGAACAGACTCAAATAGCCCAAAGGCACGGGACAGGGTCCACAAACACGATGAAGGGCTCATGCAGTACACACGGAGCTCTTGCAAATGGGAATGCAGAAAGTCACATATTAGAGCGCCTATAATACTACCACTCGGTAGGCTGAGGCCTGAGGGTCGTCACTAGTTCGAGGCCAGCCTGGGCTACGTAATGAGTTCAAAGTCAACCTGTGCTGCGTAGAAAGACCCTGTCTCAAAAATAAAATATGGTTAAAATAAGATTTTAGCCGGGCGTGTTGGCGCACGCCTGTAATCGCAGCACTCCGGAGGCTGAGGCAGGAGGATCGTTGTGAGTTCGAGACCAGCCTGGGGCACAAAGTGAGCTCAAGGCCAGCCTGAACTGCATAGCAAGACCCTGTCTCAAAAAGACCAAAAAAAAGAAAAAAATTGTATTTAAGACAGTCTTGCTAAATTCGCATGCTGGCCTCAAAACTTATGATGCTCCTGCCTCAGCCTCTGAGGAGCTGGGATTACTGGCAGGTGCCCCCATGTCCGAAGTATTGTGTATGGAGGATTTTAACTTGTCCCCATCCAGTATTTCAGGGGATCCTTTAGGAATTCGTTATGTTTGAAAGATTGACCCAGACCCTGCTTCTTTCCACAGCTAGTTGTCCTTAAGACCTTTGCTACTGCAGAATTTTCTGAGAGAATTGGAGATTCTCAGCTGACTTCTTTGGAATGCAGAAGGCCTCATATTGCTTGTTCTCGAACAGTTAATTCTCCAGAGCACAGCAAAGACCAAAGTGTAATGTTTAACACAATTTTAATGAAGGCTTGAGTATTACAAAGGCCACTGCAGAGAGCAATTTACAGTTGACACTAAATTAACCATTTTAGGAGCCCAAACAACCCCAAGCTTCTGTCTAGACCCAGAAATCCTGTTATCTCCCCGAACATTGGGCTGTCACCTGTGGAAACCTCCAGAATTCTCCCGCCACCTCTCTACTATGAACCTAGAGATAAAAAAACCCTCCTCATTCATCTAAGGCTTTCCTGGAGAGACCTGACAGTGAATTCTTCAGGGAGAACTCATACTTCCACTCGCAGTGTATGCTCCATGGTTTAAACAAAATAATCACAATGATTGACAGGGTATTTTCCAGGGTCTGACTTACTCAATTTTAACCAACACCATAGTTGGAGACTAGAAGTCAGTTCAAGAAGGTGTCCCACCAGCTAGGTATGGTGATGCACACCCATGATACCAGCACTTGGGAGGTTGAGGTAGCCTAGGATACATTTCCAAACTAACAGGTGTGATGATTCTTTCTCTGATTACTAATGACTTTGAACATTTCTAGATGGCCTTTTGGGTTTCTTCTTTTTAAATTGCTTATCCATATCCAATGCACATTTTTCTGTTAGAATGCATTTTTTGTTTTTTTTTTTTTAGGTGGGATTTATGTTGCCCAAGTTGGTCTCAAATTGCTGGGCTCAAGTGACCTTACTGCCCAGCCGTCTGGGTAGCTGGGACAATAGGCATGTGCCACCATGCCTAGCTTAATTTTGTCCTATGATGAACATAAATTCTTCCAGCTTCTTTTTTTTTTTTTGGTTTTTCTCCGGTACCGGGAACCGAACTCACGACCTTGCGCTTACCAGGCAGGCGCTTTTGCTGCTGAGCTAAATCCCCAGCCCCTGGAGAACCTAATTATTATTTTCAAAACTTGAAATACATGGAAATAAGCCATTTATTCTGCCTTTCCTATACAAACTTTACACAATATACTGAACTTATGGCAGGTGGTAAAAGCAGTGCTCAGATGGAATTTTGTTTTGTTTTGTTTGAAATAGGGTTTCACTTTGTAGTCCAGGCTTGTCTTGAACTGCTGTGTATCCTTGGCTGGCCTTGAACAGGGCTTCTCCTACCTCTGCCTCGTAAGTGCTGGTATTGCAGACGTGTGCCACCATTCTGGATTCAAGTGGAAATTCATAACTGTAAATACTTAGATTTTAAAAAGTTCGTATGATGGAATAATACTCAGTGCTAAAAACAAATGAGCTAGCAAGCCATGAAAGGAAAGACAATACATATTACTAAGTGAAAGAAGGCAACCTATATACTTTCTGATTCCAACTATATGACATTCTGCAAAAGGCAAAACTTTGGGTGTAGTAAAAAGATCAATAGTTGACAGGAAATAGAGGAAAGAGAATGATTAGTAGGAAGAGCACAAAGAATTTTTAGGATGGCAATAATATTTTATGGAACACTGCAGTGGTGAGTCCATGTCACTATACATGTTATAACCTATAGAATGTACAGCACCAAACATTAACCCTAACGTGAACTATGGACTTTGAGTGATAGTAATGTGTCAATGTAGGTGCAGTGATTATATCAAATGCACCACAGCTGTGGTGTGGGAAGTTGACAGTGAGGGAGATCATGCATAATATGGGAACTCTCTGTATTTTCCATTCAGTTTTGCTGTGAACTTAAAACTATTCTAAAAAAAAAAAAATTAGCTTATTCAAATTTTAACCCTAGGGCCGCGAAGGTCGAGGGGACAGGATGACAGGATGACAGCATACAGCAAGCAGTGGGAAATGAGCAGGGTGTAGTTTATTAGAACAAAAAGGAAAGCTCCCTGCTGTCAGGAGGGGCTTCCATAGACAGACACCGTAGACATTTAAGTCCAGGGACTTTATGCAGTCTTTGGCATGAAAATGCTGTCAGGCTCTCAAAGTCTAGAGAGTTAGCTGTGTTCTTTTTTTTTTTTTTTTTTTTTTGAGACAGGATTTCAGTGTGCAGTTCAGGCTGGCCTTGAGCTCACTTTGTAGTCCAGGCTGGTCTTGAACTCACGGTGATCCTCCTGCCTCAGCCTCCTGAGTGCTGGGATTACAGGCGTGCGCCATCACACCGGGTTGGCTGTGTTCTTTGTTCCTTGTATTTCAGACCTCTGAGGCTTCTAGGGACTTATCCTTTGTCCTTTGCATTCTAATTTCCCAAGGCTTATCCTTAGCTCATTTAAGTTGTGACCTTCAGTTTACTTAATTAATTTACTCAGTTTAGTCAGGTAGTTTAACTCAGAACTTTTCATCCTACTTTGCCTATCTTCCCATTCTGTCTCCTGGTCTCAAAATCAATAGCATAACCTTCCATTTTAACCTAGAAAAAGAAGAAAGCAAACTAAACCAAAGCAAGCAGAAATAATAGAGATTAGACAAGAAATTGATGATACAGGAAACAAAAATTAACAGTTCACTGAACAAAAGCAAAAACTGACAAACTTGTGGCTAGACTGACCAAGAAAAAGCAAAGAAGATTCAAATTACTAAATGTAGGGATAAAAGAGGGGCTATTACTGTTGGCCTCAAAAAAATAAAAGAACAAAAGGAAATACTATAAACAACTATATGCCAATGAATTAGATTACTTAGATGAAGTAGACAAATTCCAAGTAAGACACAAACTACTAAAACTGACTCAAGAACAAACAGAATAGACCTTAAAAAAGTATAAATTAAATTAGTAAACAAAAAACTTCTTAAAAACCCAAGCCCAGATTTAATTGGTGAATTCTACCAACTGTTCAAAGAATGAACACCAATCCTTCATAAACTCAGAGAAGAAACGATGGAATAGTTTGTAACTCATTCCAGAGATAAGAATCTCTGCCTTAGAGCAATCATTGCCTACCCATAGATTGGAGAGGTTGATGGCAATAGCCCAGGTTGCTTGTCATAAGAAACAGGTTCAGACTGATCAAGCACCGAGGGCAGTAGTTCTCAACTGTGGTTACACAGTAAAACCTACTTACCTGGGGAACTTTTAAAAATTCAAGTGCTCACGATGTATACAGGTATGTCTATGTCCATCTCTGTGTGTGTGTGTGTGTGTCTACAGAGGCAGGATCCAGGCATCACTATTTGTTTTTGAGACAAGGTCTTACTGTGTAGTTTAAGCTGTCTTTGAACTCACTATGTTGCCCAGGCTGGTCTTAAACTTACACTGATCCTCATGCCTCAGCCTCCCAAATGCTGGGGTTACAGGTGTGCACCACCACATCCAGCAGCTTCATTATTTTAAAACTCGTTAGGTGATATAACTCTAAAAAATATAAAAGAAAAGCTAAAATATATGGGTGATGGAAGTAAAAAATGCCAGACTTTCACTCCCTACTGAATCATTCCAGTCTCCTTCCCCACCCTTGCCAAACTCTCAGGACTGACAAATTAAAACATAAAACCACCCTCACTCAATTCTGTGTGTCTAGTGGTTAAGAAGTGATAGTTGTCTAGTGACAGCTACAGGAGGTCCCTGGGGCTCCCCACAACAGGACTCAACTTCCCACTTCCCTTAAATTCACTAAGACTGAAACAGGTCAGGGCTTGGTCTGCAGTCTTTGTCTCAAAACTGGAAGAACCACCAGAATTGCAGAGTATACAGTGGATGTGAGGGCACCAGAAGCAGAACAATTATTAGAGCATAAAGCTGAAAAGTAGGACAGGAATGGAGAGGCTACAGAGGAATTATTCAGGACTCTTACTGGCAAGTGACAGAAGCTCCAACTAATTTAACCTAGAAAACAGAGTTCATTGGCAGAATCCTCAGCTCACAGACTGAAAGGAAGAGACAGAGAGGTGTATGGCATTGTGGGAATCTCAGATCAGGATTTATAGCTCAATGCCACGAGGATCCTTTCATTCTGGCTTTCATCCTGGCTCCTCACTAGCTGTCTCTCAAGCTTTTCATACTGACAGTTAA